AAAAAAAAAAAAAAAAAAAGACCGTACCCTTTTATGTAATGATGTTTACTTTGAATTGATATTAGTTCACACAAACACTCCATCCATGCTTTTGTTCCGGCCCTCCGGTCCAGTTTAAGAACCCATTGTGGCCCTCGAGTCAAAAAGTTTGCCCACCCCTGATCTAGTCACTACCCTCACCAGCTTCTCATTACTGGTCATATACTGTAAATACGACACAAGGTAGCTATGGAAGAATGCATGGCACCTGAACTGAGAGGTAACTGTAAAATCTAAGGTACTCTGTATGAATTTACGAACTCTTTATATGAAATATAAAATAGTGTAATTTAATACAAATTTCCTTAGCAATTGCTTAACTTACTTGTTTGCGTTTTGGAAACATGTTTCTGGAGAAAATCAACTATCTGAGCCAAAACCTTCTTATGACAATGTGTTGATAATTTTTCATCACACTCGTAACACCTGAAAACATATAACATTTAAGCAAATTCTGAAAGTATCTTCAATAATTTTGCACATGAGGTAATAAAGTTGGCACTTACCTGCTTTTGTCTTTCAATTATGAGAATAAGGGAGGTAGGTACAAAGGGTGAGGCACCAGGAAAATCAAGAGAAATAAGCAGTGGACAGTGAACCTTATTATTCAATTAAAGTTTTGGCAGTTTATCCTAAGTGCAATGGAACGCCAACGCCATGAGGTGTTTTCAAGCAGGAAAGTGATATTATCCACTTTAAATTTAAAAACACCACTCTGACTAATATCTAATTAGAGGGTATCAGGAATAGAAGCAGATCAGTGGATCTTGAAAACAATGAACAGATTCATCTTATATATTTTCAGGTATAGACATGAGAAGGGAGAAGTGGATGGGGATACGTCAGTGATTCTCAAACGGGAGCAATTTTGCCCTTAGAAGACATTTGGTAATATTTTGAGACCATTTTGGTTGTTACCCTGGGGAAGCTGCTACTGACATCCGTGGGTAGAGAGGCCAGGGATGCTGCTAAACATCCTATAACGTACAGGACAGTCCCCTTACAACCAAGAATTATCAGCCCAAATGACACTAGTACTGAGATTGAGAAATCCTGGTTTAAATAAAACAAGACTAGCTGAGAGTTAGTAATATTTAAAACTGGGTCATGGATATAGAGGAAAAATTCATTATACTATTTGTCTACTATTGTTAAAAGGTTAAAAAATAAAACAAGATAAAAAAAGGGAAGAAAACAACACTGCCAGGCTTCTGGCTTGAATACTTAGTTCCACTTATAGAGATGGGGAAGACTGGCTGACATTAGTGTTTTATTTTGTTTGAGGTTTAATTGGAAAGAATGGGTTAGGGAATGATTTCCAAAAATGCATACCTTTTCAGAAAACCAACCTCCACTAAGTTTACTCATTAATGCATACAGTACTAATAAAGGTTTCTTCTATATATTATCATTACCTGTTCCCTTTACCTTCATGAGATCCAAAGATCAAATTAAAACATGTGTTTGAAAGCAATGAAAATTTGATAAATGTAATGTGTTGTACTAACACTAACTTATATATTCACAATCTTCTTATAATTATTAATGGTCCTGGGATCAATGGCTGTAAACTAGATTTAGGTTCCTTTCCTAAATAGTATTTATAGTCAAATATTTACTGAGTGTCCCCTCTCTCACTTATACACAAAAATAGATTCAAAGATAAATCCATGAAGGAAATGAGTTACAGAAAACATCCCCAAATGTCTTTTCGATAAAGAATTTAAACAATTTAATAATAGTTACCAGGCTTACATGATAGATGCTCTCTATTTACGAATGTAACTATTGTCAAAAATAATAAAATATAATTGCTCATTTTAAAGATGTTGAAATGTCAAGAAATTTTTACTGACATTGCAATTTAATGTTTACTTGTTATAAACTATACTGTAACTTTAACAGTACAAAAAGAAAACGTAAATAAAAGCTGCACAATGGCAGTGGAGTTGGAGAAAAGAAGACAGCTCAAAATAACTTAATTCTACTTGTTTTCATTAGAAGTAAAAAAAAATTTTTTTAATTGAGCATATACTATGAGCCAGGCACTGTTCTAAGTGCTTTACATGTATTTTATGGTTTAATTCCTCACAACAATCCAAAAAGTATTATCATTTTAAAAATAAATAACTTTACAGAAGTATAAGATTTTATTTTTACATATGACAAATTGAGACACTTTAAAAAGCAGTCATTCATACATTAACTTTTAAGTGTTAAATCAGATTCTTGCTTAGGCATAAGAATCACCTATGGAACTTAAAGATACAAAAGCCCTGATTTCAGAGGGGACCACTGGCACCCCTGGGCTTTTAAAATTCTACTGTGTGCGTGACTCTGACATGAATTCAAAGATAAGAAACTACTGTGTTAATTATTATTATTGATTAAAGCAGTACCAAATCCACTATCTAGCAACACTTTTTTAGCCATAATTAAATGATCAAATCTACAATATTCCTTTCTTTTTTCAGTTTCTTAGGTTTTGCCCTAGTTCAGGCTGGCCTCTCTTTAATCCAAATTAGTGAAATTTTCTATTGAAATTGTTAATCTTTTTAATGTTTAAGAATTAGATGGGAGCCTGACCAGTGTAGCTAACTGGTTGAGCATCTATCTATATGAACCAGGAGGTCACCGTTCGATTCCTTGGTCAAGGCACATGCCCAGGTTGCGGGCTTGATCCCCAGTGAGGGTGTGCAGGAGGCAGCCAATCAATGATTCTCTCTCATCACTGATGTTTCTCTCTCTCTCTCCCTCTCCCTTCCTCTGTAATCAATAAAAATATATTATAAAAAAATAATTAGATGAGAAAAGAAAATAGTCATAACCTTTAAATTTCTATAGCTGTATGTGACAAACTTGAATTTCTTCCTTTAAACAGGAAATGATTCCCTTAGGACCACAATCATGATCCTAAGAGCTACAATGGCAGTTTTGACACAGACTGACTTGAGATGAGACTATTCTGCCAGGTGCCACTCAATTCTCCCATCACCTTTTCCCATTGCAATGGTTCTCAAATTGTGGTCCCAGACCAGCAGCACTGGCAACACCTGGCGACATAGAAAGGCAAGTTCTCAGGCCCTACCCTAAAACTGCTAAATCAGAAACTGGAAGCCTGAGACCCAGCAATCTATTTTAACAAGCCCACCCCATAGTTTGAGACCATTGCTTCTTTTAAGACTACTGAGAAATGTTTATTGTGCTGCCACACTAGACATCATCCCCCCCTTCCTCTAGCTCCAATGCACTATTTACATATTAAATTCCCTCTATTTTTGCCTTCTTTTATTTTAATATGTTTTTATTGATTTTGGAGAGAAAGGAGAAGAGAGGGAGAGAGAGATAGAAGCATGGATGAAAGAAACATCGATTGGCTGCCTCCTGTACACCCCCTACTAGGGATAGAGCCCGCAACTCAGGCATGTAGCCTGACCGGGAATCGAACCAGTAACCTCTTGGTGCATGGGTCGATGCTCAACCACTGAGCCACAAGCCAGGCAATATTTTTCCCTCATTCTCTCCAATACTATTGCTTGGAACCAAGAGCAACAAAAACACAAATGCTGCAACCATCTGACCTTGTGGATGAATTAAATTATAAGATGGTGATCTCTCCTACCAGCCAAAATATTCTAATATTAATTTTAGAACCCTGAAATAAAAACACAAAGTTAAAATATTTTTGTCTTAAGAAAACTCCTGAAAACTCATTCAAGGAACCCTAGGAGTCTATAAATTCTAGTTAGAAAATTTTTGTTGTAAAATACAAGGAAAGCATTTCAATAGTGTTCACTTATACCACTGAAGCTGTGTGGTATGCTGAGAAGAGACTAGGGACTAAAAAAAAAGACTTGTTTTAGTGCCTGGATTTTTATTGTGTAACCACAAAAAGGTAAATGATATTCAGTGTCCTTATGCATAAAGTGAGGGAACGGAACTTGATTTCCAAGTAAGGTTTCATAGTAGATTCCCTAAGAAGTTCCCTTTTACCTACAGAGCATCACCATACACTTGACTGCTTCAAGCTCCTTCCTCCTCTAGAACTCGGGATTCTGTATTAGCAAGTTCATTACGAAAAAGTGACTGGAAAGAATTTTTCTATTTTCTTCCTTATTTAAATTTTATATTCATGAGTAATTATTTTCTTAAATTATTCCATAGGTTGTAGTCAGGCTAAAAAGCATAAGCTGGTATAACATCTTTAATTATTTTACCCATAAAGCTAAAAAAAAAAAAAAGAGGTTATTTTTGTAGTGGACATAAGTACTAACAAAATCTAACTTACCATATAATCCATGAGCTCAGACTAATTATAAGTACAGTGAAGCTCTGTTCTCCAACTCTGAAGTGCTTCAATGAATGCTGGCTTTCTGAGTTTTTACCACATCCCTAAAGAGGAACAGATTGCTGTTTTGATTTATATACATATTTGTTTCTAAATCAACCAAAACTTAAATCATACCCAAACTCAAAAATCACAAAATACAAACAGTAAAAGAAGGTCTAGATATGAGAACTATTTCGAGTGGACTGGATTCCTTTTCAAGTTCTTATAAACCACACATGATTACTTTCTGAACAAAACACCTTTTACTTTATCTTAAACATTTCTAAGACATTTCTTGGAGAGTTCTATCAAAACATGGAATAAATTTATCTTAAGTTCTTAGCATTACTGACAATCCAACTCAAAATAATCATTAAGGAAAATATTTAAGACAAACTCCCACATAAAAAAAAAAAAAAAAACTTTTCTCACCTGAAAACCACACTTGAGGCACAACCAAATCTCAGAAGAAAGTACTGGCTGTCCATCATGGAATCTTCTTTCTTTTAAACATTCTGAGCAAGCTGACCACAGATTCTCAGCTATTGCTTTTTTCACATGATTCACACTGACAGCATGACTTACATGTTGGCAAGTGAAACCTACTGAATAAGACAAAACAAAATTTGAGCATTTTCTTTGCTAAACCAAAGTGCTATCATCAGTAAGCAAACGCACTAATATTAAAATGCTGTAAAAAGCACTGAGATTGAAAAAAAGAACAAAATAACTCATAAAGGATATATATTGCATGATTCCATTTATAAAACATTTGTGAAATAACATAATTATAGAGTTGGAGAACAGATTAGTGGTTGCCAAAGGCTGCAGATGGGGAGAAACTCAGAGCTGTGGCTGTAGACAGGTATCAACTTTGGGTGGTGATTTAACAGTCAAGTATCTTGATTGTGGTGGTTATAGAAAGCTACACATGTAATAAAATTGCAAAACTACTAATGCATGTGCATAGACACACACACACACACACACACACAAATGCATATATATCTGGTGAAATCTGAATAACCTCTAAGCATTGCACCTATGTCAGGTTCCTGGTTTTGATATACTATAGAAATACAATATGTTAAACCAAGAGAGGTTAAGTGAAGGGTGAGTGGGACCTCCTTGTATATTTCTTTGTACCTTCCTGTGAATCTAAAATTAGTTCAAAAATAAAAATTTAATAAATAAAATAAAGGAGATTATTTACTGAGCAGCTACAATGTATCTAGCATTTTGAATATATTTTCTTTCCATTAAGATACACACCTAAAATCTTTTTTTTATTCTTATTAAGGTATTACATATGTGTCCTTCCCCCCCCACCCCTACCTCCTCACTCATGCCCTCACTCCCCTGGTGTCTGTGTCCATTGGTTAGGCTTATATGCATGCATACAAGTCCTTTGGTTGATCTCTCCCTCTTCCCCTCCCCCTCCCCTGCCTTCTTTCTGAGGTTTGATGCTCTGATCGATGCTTCTCTGTCTCTGGATCTGTTTTTGTTCATCAGTTTATGTTGTTCATTATATTCACAAATGAGTGAGATCATGTGATATTTATCTTTCTCTGACTGACTTATTTCGCTTAGCATAATGCTCTCAAGGTCCATCCACGCAGTTGCAAATGGTAGGGTTCCTTCCTTTTTACAGCAGCATAATATTCCATTGTGTAGATGTACCACAGTTTTTTTAATCCACTTATCTGCTGATGGGCACTTAGGCTGCTTCCAAATCTTAGCTATTGTAAATTGTGCGGCTATGAACATAGGGATGCATATATCCTTTCTGATTGATGTTTCTGGTTTCTTGGATATATTCTTAGAAGTACACACCTAAAATCGTTTTGAATAGACGCTATTTTCATCATTGTTGGGAGAAAGGAGAGAGAGGAACAATGGCATAATTTACAGGAATAAGAATTCTCAGAATTCTCCTTAATGAATATTCCCAAATAACAAATGATTTTGCATGGTCCTTAATTACTCCTTATAACATATTCCCGCTGTGTGCATTGTGTGGAGACAAATGATCAAAATAAGCAAGTATGTTTTTAATTTTCAAATAACCATATTCTTCTCCCAAGGGTACAAAGATGCTTCCATTTCTCCCAAATACCTGAGCACTTTAATTTCTTCACCTCAATATTCCAAACACCAAGCTATAACTACCTGCCAAATCAAACCGAGACTGAGTAACTTGAAGAAGGATACAGAAAGAGTACATACATTTCAACTTTCTCCACTTCCCTTTCAAAATGAGAGACATTCCTTTTCACCTACTATTTAACTAGAGACAGCCTAAACATTACTTCCCATTTCATCCTGAAGACTAAGAATGTGATTCCTGGCAAGTTACTTGTTGTTTTTAAATATATTTTTATTGATTTCAAAGAGGGAAAGAGAGCTAGAAACATCAATGATGAGAATCATTGATCGGCTGCCTCCTGCAAGCCCCCCACTGGGGAATGAGCCCGAAACCCAGGCATTGCCCTTGACCAGAATCGAATCTGGGACCCTTCAGTCCGCAGGCCAACACTCGATATCCACTGAGCCAAACCAGCTAGGGCCTGACAAGTTACTTATAATAAAATATAATTTTAACAGAAATAATATATAAATCTGGTAAAAGATTAAAACTCCTCATTTTACACCAAGAGCAAATTATAAGAATAGACATAAAGGAGAATGTTTGAACTATATCTGAAGTATGTCTGAAGTCCTAGGTTTGAAAAACAAGGATGCATGCCATTAAAAAAGGGCTGTTCGGTGTGTGTGGTGGGGGGACGAATAAATAATCACTCAAGTTCAAAACCTGCGAATGGGCTAGAAATGGGGCAAAGGAAACTAAAAAGAAAATAAACAAATGGGTCTACATCAAAACAAAAAACTTCTGCACAGGAAAAGAAACCACCAACAAAATGAAAAGAGATCCCACTGCATGGGAGAACATATTTGCCAATGATATATCCAATAAGGGGTTAATTTCCAAAATATATAGGGAACTCATATAACTTAACAAAAGGAAGACAAACAATCCAATTAAAATCTGGGCAAAGGACCTAAATAGGCACTTCTTCAAAGAGAACATACAAATGAGGCACACACTCCCAACTGGGAATCAAACCCACGACCCAGGGGCTGATGCTCCAACCACCAAACCAAACCAGCCAGGGCAGCAGTTCAGTTCTTTTGAAAAATTCTCTAAATATTTCTTTGGTTGGAAATCAATTTGGTTCTGTTTTTAAATGACATTTTCATTGGATATAGAATTCCAAGGTGACAGTCTCAGTCTTTCCTGAAAAATAAAGATGTTCTTCCATTGTCAAACAAAACCTAGAAATGGTTTTACCACATGCCATTGTTTTGTTTGTTTTTATATTTTAACATTCTAAGAGTAAAATCATTCCACATACCTCCTATATCATCTTTGGGATGGGATCTGGTCAGGTTACAACTTAACCATTCTCTGATTCTATAATTCAGATTTCTAATACTGAAATTGTTAATGAATTCAAGATAAAAGACGTTAAAAAAAATGACAACAAGACCAAAATGGAGTCAGTTATGCAAAGCCCCATGCCACCAATTCAGTTCTTAATTACAGTTTCTGCCTCTGGAAAGGAATTTTAAACCAGGAATGGAATCTTAAAGCAGTCAACCTGGAATTACGTGGTCAGCACTAGTGAGGTACTCTGCAAGGACACCCACCAACCCTTAAAGCAGCGGTTCTCAACCTGTGGGTCGCGACCCCTTTGGGGGTCGAACGACCCTTTCACAGGGGTCGCCTAAGACCATCGGAAAACACATATATAATTACATATTGTTTTTGTGATTAATCACTATGCTTTAATTATGTTCAATTTGTAACAATGAAATTGGGGGTCACCACAACATGAGGAACTGTATTAAAGGGTCGTGGCATTAGAAAGGTTGAGAACCACTGCCTTAAAGGAAAGTGGTTGTGCCACACAAACCTGCTTTTTGCTAGTATAACCTCCTTGTCCTGCTCCCTTTTCCTATAAAAGACTTTCATTTTGGAGCTCCTTTCTGTCTGCTAGATGGGATGCTAACCAATTCATGAATTATTGAATAAAGCCAGTAAGTTATTTAAAATTTATTCAGTCAGATTTTTAAAATAAGTCCCAGGCCCCTAAATTAAGTCAATTAGCTTTTAAATGTCTCACCATATATACTTTATATAAGTATAAGAAAATTTAAAAGCTTGAAGTTTTCCTTCAAGAGCTAACCAGTGTTTAAATGGAACCATATTGGGGGGAGGGGAATATTAAAAAATTCCTTGTGTGTTAATAAGCAGTTTTCTATAATTTGTTTAGTCATATAATTATCTAAATTTCATCTGACAAGTAGGCCCTCTAGAGATTTCTGAATAAAAACATAAAAATGTGTTAAAGTCTATAGTTGTTTCACATTAACAAATCGAAAACAATAATCCAAATCTCCATGTTTTCTACTTTAAATATTAATAAAAAAAACTTTATAAGGATGTCTTCCAGCTTGCAAATAGTGGCATAAAAATCATCACTTCTTTTTCCTCCCAGAAAATATCCACGGACAAAAAGAAAAAAGTAACAAACATCATTTTCAGTGAAACCAGGACACAGCTGAATATCCAAGTCGCAAAGTCAGTGGAAGAGCCCCCACCTTGAAGCAGCAGAGATCAAACAGGAGTACATACAGGAGGCAGAGAGAATACTGCAGCTGTGGCTTTCATAGAGAATGACGTATACTTAGCAGACACAGAACAAACCCAAATCTCTGTGCTGCACCAACAGGGCTCCCCTATATTCAATTTTGTTTTCAGAAGAAGCACAAGTAGAGACTTTCTCATTCAGTAGGGGGGAAACAAAAAAGTCAGCCATATTTGCAAGAAACAGACTTGTCTCTATATGGCAGTTGGGAAGAAGAGATACTTTGGATTCAGAAAAAAACAAACAAACAACAGTGTTGCATAATCCTGGTGGTTGGAAAGAAGCAAAGGCTAAATGACTCAAAACTCAAAATTCTTGTTAGGTCTCAACAGTGCTCTGGTCCTCCTTCCAGCATAAATATTCTAAAACTAACTGGCCCAAGAAAGGCAACCCTACATCAAAGAATGAGTATTCAAAGTAAAAAATTTAAAAATGCAAATTCTAGGCTGAGATAACATAAGATAAAGGAAGAAAGGAAATGAAAAATCATAGCAGAGTAATCACTGCCAGGAAATAAAAACACAAAACAGAAGCAGAGAGAATACAAACAGTAGTAAAATAACAGGAAGTAACTAGCAGAGTTCAGGAAAGAAGTGGAAGAAAAAATAATAAAACCACAAAAATGAAGGCAAAACTCAAGTATACAAGGTGACTGCTGAAAACACACCAAAGGATAAAAATAAGAACAGCAAGCAAAATGAAAAGGAAAGAGGAGTTTTAGAGGATTTGAGAAAAAAAATGATAACTATGGGAGGAAGACAGGCAGAGGAGAGTTAGCATAAGAATAATCAGAATCCCTGAAGAAAACCGTATTAACAAGAGACTATTTAAAGATAAAATTCAGACTTTCTTCAATTCAACAATTTAGATATCCTGAGACATTATCCAGATTATAAAACATGTAAAAATGTAAAAATGGAAATAATATGTTAAAAACATTTATATATATATATATATATCCCAGTGCACGACATTCATGCACTGTGGGGGGGTGTCCCCTCAGTCCGGCCTGTGCCCTCTCACACTCCGGGACCCCTCGGGGGATGTCCAACTGCTGGCTTAGGCCCGCTCTAGCTAGAGCCTAGGCCAGCAGTCAGATATCCCCCGAGGGGTCGTTAGGACTGCCACAGTGGCGCTGCGCTTGCTAGCCATGAGCCCAGCTTCTGGCTGAGCGGTGCTCCTCCTGTGGGAGCACACTGACCACCAGGGGGCAGCTCCTGCATTGAGCATCTGTGCTCCCTGGTGGTCAGTGTGCATCATAGCAACTGGTTGTTCTGCCATTTGGTCAATTTGCACATTAGCCTTTTATTATATAGGATATTTTTATTGATTTCAGAGAGGAAGGGAGAGGGAGAGAGAGATAGAAACAATGATGAGAGAGAATCATTGACCAGCTGCCTCCCGCACGCCCCCCCCCACTGGGTTTCAAGCCGCAACCCAGGCATGTGCCCTTAACCAGAATCGAACCCAGGACACTTCAGTCCACAGGCTGACGCTCTATCCACTAAGCCAAACCAGCTAGGGCTTCAAAACATCTTTTTAAATGAAGAGCTGAACTAACTGGTAAGAAAGTAAAGAAAATCCTCCAAGGCCAAAACCGAAGGTATGAGGCTAATAATGCAAGTCCTAAAGCCAGCAGCTCCCCAGGATCGTCTGCACCTCAGTGACGTTAATGAGGAAAATAAGTCATTTTCTGGGGTGGGGGGAGACAGCAGCCTGACTCTGTACCTAGTTAATTAGTATCCCTAATGCACATTCCTGTTAGCCTATAGTCTAGTCATTGCCCCTTCCTTAATTATCTGGTCTTGCAAGACCTGTTTACCTAAGTACTCCCATTTTACAGAGGCCATAAACCATGAACAATACACAACCCCCAGAGGGGGTTATCAGCGCTGGCACCAGGCCAGGCCTTTAGGTGTGGTCTCACGGCCCCCATCCCAACACATGGGGCTTTTTGCAAAGCCCACGAAAGATCTGGAAGTCTGATCCATATTTGGGGGACAAAGAAACCAAAGGGTATAAAGGGAAAGCTTCCTCCATATTGGTTTGCTCAGGATTTGGAAACAGGCTCCCCTAAGTCACGGTACTAGTACATCTGGAAATAAATGGTTTTTTCCTGTATCTCCGAGTACTCCTGTGTGAGTATTTTCCAGTCGCCTGGTAAATTCTGTAACAATGTAAAGACTGGTTTTAATAGACGATGAGAAACAGGGCAATGACAAAAAATAAGCCACTTCTGATTACTTTATCAACTAAACAAAATATCAATAAAAACACCAACAGCAGTTTTTGAAACTAGACAAGCTGATTTTTATGTTTACACAGAAAATGGTAAAAACAAAGAGAAAAGATTTCATTAATTAAAAGTATATGTTTAACCACTATGCTGTACATTTGAAACTAATAGAAAATAATATTGAATGTAAACTGTAATTTAAAAATAAAATAAAAAACATACGTTATTTCTTTTCTGCAACACTATTTAGGGAGGCCAGTCACAACGTACCAGCAATGTCATCTGAAGAGTCTTCATCATGAGGTATTGTCGGCCTTTTACTTCTTTTGGCTTTCTCAGATAAAACTTTGGATGGCTCTTTCACCCGCATCTGTTATTTACTGAAAAGGTTGGGGAAGGGGGGATGAATATAATTTAATCCTCAAAAATAAAATTGTATGTATTATACTTAATGCATATTAAAATTGAGATTACTTCCATTTTAATTGGTCTACTACATCAACAGAGGAAGAGGGGAGAGTCAGCTGGAAGGAAAAAGTCTTTATTAAACCAACATAAAATGGCACTTTGTATGTGACTTTTACCGACTACTCCCTAGATATATGCTATCTAGGTGAACGAAAAACTAAAGTTCTGATCAATGGAACAAGTGCTGCTTCTACGTCAGGTGCTCCCCTTGCCCTTTCTGTCTCACTAGCTAGGAGACAGTAGGAGTTGGTAAAGCTACAATGGACCAGGGATGGAAGCCATGTGCCAAGCACAGTAGAACCACCCCCCCTTTCTGTATGACCTAGTGCTAGGCTACTGAGAGAGAAATAATTTTCTACCTTTCCCCTACGTTTTATTTTATTTTTTAAATTATTTTTTTAAATATATTTTTTATTGATTTCACAGAGGAGAGGAAAGGGAGGAAGAGAAACATCAATGATGAAAGAGAACCATTGATCAGCTGCCTCCTGCACACCTCACCAGGGATTGAGCTTGCAACCCAGGCACATGCCCTGATCAGGATCAAAACGTGACTTCCTGGTTCATCGGTAAATGCTCAACCACTGAGCCACACTGGCCTGGCTCCCACTTTTTTATTATGAAAAGTTTTAAACTTCCACAAAAATTAAAAGAACAATATAATGAATACCCATATACTATCTAAATCCCACTAAAACATTTTGCCATACTTATTTTATCTAAATAGCAATGTGCATATAGACATATATACCTGTATGTTTGTTTTTGGGGTTTTTTAAAATATATTTTTATTGATTTCAGAAAGGAAGAGGGAGAGAGAAACATCAATGATGAGAGAGAATCATTGATTGGCTGCCTCCTGCGTGCCCCCTACTGGGGATGGAGCCCACAGCCCAGGTATGTGCCCCTGACCAGAATTGAACCTGGGTCCCTTCAGTCCACAGGCCGATGCTCTATCCACTGAGCCAAACCAGCCAGGGCTGTATGTTTGTTTTTGCTGAACTATCTGAATGTTGCAGACAGCATGTATCTCTTAAGAATAACAACATTCTCCTATATAATCACATTGCATCTCAGAAAATTAACATATTTAATTTCTTCCGCTGACCCAAAAGTGTCTTCTATACTGGTTTTTTGAATAAGGATTCAATCAAGGCTTTTGTATTGGTTATGTCGCTTTAGTACTTTTTAATTGACAACTGTTCTTCCCAAAAAAGATGGAAAGTTAACAGTGCCCTACTTTCCTAAGACACCGGCTTTTTTAAGAGATCAGGGCAGTGCATGAGTCATCTTGGAGGTTTTGCTAAAATGTAGATTTTAAAAGGAGACATATGTACTACTATTTGTAATACTTTAAACAATAAAATAAAATTTAAAAAAATAAATAAAATGTAGATTTTGATTAAACAAGACTGTCACAGGACCTGAGATTCTGCCTCCTTTGCAAGCTCCCAATGGGAAGCCAGTGCTGGGGGTCCACTTTCAATAGCAAGACTATAATATCCCACATTGAATTTGACTCTTTCCTCATGGTGTTATTTAACTCTATCTCTTATGTTTCTTTAAAACTCAGTTAATTCTAAAGATTTTAGATACAAGTTATGCAATTTTTTTAAAACCACTATATTTTGGAGTCTTTATTTTTTTAAAATATATTTTATTGATTTTTTACAGAGAGGAAGGGAGAGGGATAGGAAGTTAGAAACATCGATGAGAGAGAAACATCGATCAGCTGCCTCCTGCACACTCCCCACTGGGGATGTGCCTGCAACCAAGGTACATGCCCTTGACTGGAATCGAACCCGGGACCCTTGAGTCCGCAGGCCGACGCTCTATCCACTGAGCCAAACCGGTCAGGGTTAGAGTCTTTATTAAAGTAGCTTAGCCTAAGTCCTACCTAGTATCACCCTGCTCCATGGCTAAGCTACACTGTAATATTCATGATTATTTGTTTATTTGCTTTTATTGATCAAGGTGCAAGAATCTTTCAACTCAGTAATAAATTCTGAATCATGATTTAGTTATATAATGTCCCACGTTAGGGAGCTTTTGTGAGTCATTTTATGAGTAATTTCCTTAAGTCCAAGGGTCACCATATTGAACTGCAAAAAATTAAGGCCTTCAAGGTCACAGAGATGCACACGGCCTCTGAGTTCCTTGACCACTTCATTTCTGATTGCCTTTTACCTCCCACTTCCTCATCCGCTTAGCCCCACAGTCCTGCCTTGCAAAATCACTAATTCAAGTATTCCATTCTCTGACCACAACTTCGAGTTCTTCCAGCTTTCTTGCTCAGCCAATCCTGCTCTCCTTTAGTGATCGGGCTCACAGGAGGCTGCATCTCAACAAGTGCTCCCAGGATCACTACAGCAGGGCAGGGAAAAGGAGACCTGGCAAATGGGAGTGCTGGTTCCTCAAGCGTCACTTGGAAGCGACACGTGTCATGTCTGCTCATATTCTACTGGGCAAAACAAGTCAGATGGCAACTCATTTCAAGTAGACATAGAGAGCGGGGATGTTAGTGTATACAAAGAATGCAGCCTTATCATGTTCCCAGGAGGGACGGAATATGTGTGCATAGCCTGAATGAGTACATCACTGCTCTAACAAAACCCCAATCCTAGATGAACACAATTAACCACTTTCTCAATGTCTGCATCCAAATGGGCAGGAGAGTCTAAGAAAGCAGAGTGGGTCCACTAAATTCACACCCAATCTCAAATGCATGAAGACATGCCATTATCTACTATTCTTTCTGGTCAACGTATCTATCCTCACACAGCCACTTGAAACCTTTTTCACTCTCCCAAACCTCCAACTCTTCCATCTCCCTACTCCTCAAAACAGAATCTGGTTTTCTACTTTACTGAAAGAGACATAATCAGATGGCAAATCTGATCTTTCCACCCCCAAACATACAAATTTACCCCCAACTATGTTAAGTGGATGTCCCAAAAAAAGAGAGACATAACTAAAAGAATCCAGGAAAAGTGGCCCATAAATGCACAGATAAACTCTCAATAAAGAAGAACATTAACACATAAAAAAAAATTAAAACAAAAAGAACCGGGTATTTTATCTAAAATCTGTAAAAGACAGACTTTTTTGTTTTTTCCAAAAACATTGACTCAAACTTAACTTGGCAATGTCAATTTCCAGTGATTTTTCCTGATATATACAATATGCCTACACATACTAGTACAGAATCATTTTGGACAGTAACCCACTGTTCAGCAATCACTTATCTGTATACGTTTCTTTTTTCAATTTCCCTTTAGAGCAAAAAGAGACGAGTCCAATTACTAGAGCTTCAAATACTTTCTATCATCAGTATTGTGTCTGGGGTGTTCCAAGACCACCCTCACATTCGGAGATTCACTAGAGCGACTCACAAAACTCAGCATATACAGCAGTTAGTTGTACTCATAGCTCACGTCTACTATGGCAATGTAGTATGAAAATACCGCCTGATCCTAACGGAAAAAGATACAGCCGGAGGCTGGAGGAATCCATGTGTAGGCTTCTTTATGTTCTCTCCCTCCCAGAAGGAATCAAATCCAGCAAAATGTCTGTGCAATGTTTTTGCCCAGGGAAGCCCATTACAGACTCGCGGGCCCAGGATTTTTATGGGAGCTGATAACTTCAGCGCAACCATATTATAAAGCATAAACCATATTGTTGCCAGATACCAAACAAGCGCTAATCTTGCAGGAGCCTTTCTAAAAAGACAGCAAGCTCAGGCCTACTATGCTCCTTTCAGCACAAATGCTTTCGGACCATTTTTCTCAGTTTTCAACTTCAGCATTATTCTAACATCTGTTCTTCTCTTTAATGTAGGATGTACAACTAAGTTGTTTAGGAATGTTTAATTTTTTAAAAACAGGTTATGCAAAAAAAAAAAAAGCCCGTATTCTTTTAAAAAAAAACATTTTTTTTTCTTACTCTTGGGCAATTATTTTCAGCGGCGGGAGGCCAGGTTGGGGGAGGGAGGGGAAATTGGGACACAACTCTCCTTTTAGAGATTCCAGGCTCAAAGAGATGAACAGCACTTACATAGTTTTACTGAGCATCACACTCGCTTCCAAGCACGTCTAAGCCCAGGGAATCCGCACTACCACCCTATGAGGTAGGGTACTATTATTTCGCGCATTTTACACTTGAAGAAACTGGGGTACACAGAGATTAAGTGACGGGCAGGGTTCCCGGACCCAGGAATTGGGGGCGGGGGGTGATCTGGACCCAGGCAGTCCGTCTCCAGGGCTCCCAACACTGCGCGTTGCAGCCAGAGACCCTGTAGACACGCGGCCCCCGGTCACGAACACAAACGCCCCCCGTTTCTTTGGAGGAAATGCGTCGTAGAGGAGAGAATGCCAGAGGGAGGCCGGGCCAGAGGGAGGCCGGGCCAGATGGGCGCCGGGCCGCCGCGCGCCCCGGTCAAGGTGAGGCGGGGACTCGGCCCCTCTCCAGCCGGGACGCCCCGGCCCCTCCGGCCGCTGCCCGGGCACCGGGCCCGCTCCGCCGCGACCACACGGCGCTGGATGACCGCCCGGCGCCCCCCGAGATCAGCAGGACGGGAGGGCGCAGGGGGGCTTCTCTCCCAGGCCCATCACGCCCCTGGGGGTCAGGGTCGCGGAATCCAAGACCCAGCAGCTGCGACCCCGCAGCCCCAACTCACCCGCCGGGCCGGGCCTCCGGGTCCACACCAGAAGGGACTGCGCCTGCGCGGCCGTCTCGCCGGCGGCGGGGGCGGGGCCGGGAGCCGGGGGCGGGGCCGGGAGCCGGGGGCGGGGCCGGGGGCGGGGCCGGGAGCCGGGAGCCGGGGGCGGTCTGGAGGTCTGGGCGGGCGGGGACAGCCGCTGGGGAGCCGCGCATCGGGTGGGGCGTGGACAGGGCGGGCCGGGCGCGGGAAGGCCTGCGTTCCCTCCGTGGGCAGAGCCGGTCGGTGCCCGCTGATCTTAAAATAATAGGGCAGGGCTCCCGTTTGGATTCGAATGGCAGCCTGGAGTGCACAGCTCGGTCTTCCCAGGGTCGGGATTCAATCTCCCTTGTGGCTGCGCACCTGCTGGGACAGCCTCTTCCTTTCCTCGTCACACTGTACAACCAAGTCACATCTGACACCCATCATACATGACCTTGCTTTTCTTCATTGTGATTGTCTTATCTTTCTTATTTCCTTTCTGGACAGGGAACTTCTTGATCTACACCTATACCTCTTGAAATTTAGATTACCCGTTAAAGTGGCCTGCATATTGCATATGCTTAGTAAACGTAGCTGGTTTGGAAA